TAAATTAAGTAATGCTAAGAAGAAGATGATCTTACATTGATTTGTATTAGCTCCAATCACATCCTTGAGGGAGAAAAAACTCGGAGTATGCACAACTGATTTAGAAATAAATCCCATCCTTTGAAGTATGAGAGTCTTCAGTTCTATTCTTTTAGGGTCATAATATATTATCTTGTTCTCAAGGAATAAAAAATTTCTGGCAGCAGCTTATCAGCTGAAAATAGCAAGAATTCCAACTCCCCAGTGTTGGAATATTGATAGAGATCAACTTTGACCAAGATTTTTGAACACGGAAACTCTTCATTACCCATATATCAATCAAATAAACACCAGAAGAACCATATATCTATTATTCTGTTGACAAAATCAAAATTCACAAGTCACCATACTCTCATCAGAATTGCTAGCTGCTGGAAGTTCCATATACACATTTTTAGTCGGATTGCATAAAACAGTTGGGTTATAATGGGGGGCTCAGACAAACGAAGGAAGCCATTACACAAATTCACTATAATGATCTTGTGATTCTTTGGTATCCAGGTTTAAATTTTGCTTCCTCTCAGTATTTCTCTCATAGAAAGCAATCGCTTGAGCATCAACATTGCGCAAAGGAATCTTCAATTTGGTATCCAGCATCATTTTTACTTGCCCAGATTCAATCACATTGTTTACAGATGGCTCGATAAAGTCAAGCATTCTTGAAATTTGTCCAACATCCGAGGGTAAGACTAGACTGCCGACTTTTGAATGTGCAAAGTGATGCTTGGCAAAGTGAGGGCTAGAAATTATTTGGTGCCAAGTTTTGCACACATAATTGCATGTTACAATCCCTTTAATGGACAGATATAGCAGGATTTCTATAATGACGAACTCTGGTAGATCTATTATGGTTGTTCTTGAACTTCTATTTGTTGTTATGCCGATTATTAGGTGGAATCTGGACAAGCAACAGAAAATAGAACTATTAGCAACAATAGACTGCTATTTTACAGCAAAAAGTAAAAGCATGTGAAAGTCTACTTGTAAATCTATGCAAAGATAAGAAACTAAAGGAAAACACATGTATTTGCTATAACTAAAGAAGCAGATAGACTTGTTTATTAAAAAAAAAAGGACGAAATGGAAATGATACATAAACTTGAAACTTTCATCTGAAGTAAAGTTTTATTTTCCTACTCAATACCTTGTGTTTTTTCCCCTTGTAACCAAGAACCAGTTTTCCTGAATTTTTCCTTCCCTTTCATCACCAAAATGATAAGAAAGAACAGGGCTTTGGGTTGATTTCAAATAATATACTTCAGAAAAAGTAAGGAATAAAGTTTTCCTCAAGGCCTAGTTTTCATCCACAACCCAAATAAAGAATTAAAAGTAACTGGATATTACAGAAAAATAGAAAAACTAACCAATTTGTTTACTGGAAATGAAAAGGCCAAGAAAAACGCTGAAGGGAAAAATAGAGTATAAAATTACCTAACAATTACCGAGTTCAAGAACAAAACACTCACTTTAAACACCAAATAATTATGCAAATTTACGGAAGGAAACAACAAACTGATGTGAGAAACAAAAAAGTAATATCAAAATACATGTTCTTGGAATACAACTCAAATCCAACAAGAAAGAAAAATCTCACCGACAAGATCTCCGTTCCCACAGCAAAAGATCACAAATGAGCTGTTGGGTCCTGATCTTATCCATGCAGATTGAACTTGCTATCCAAATTTGACGCCGGGCAGAATAGTGATTATCCTGCAGGCT